AATGAAATAAATTACTTTACAATATAAAGGTACAGTAAAGATTCATAATGTAAGATAAACTATTAGATCTAATCAAATAATTTTCGATATTTAAAGAGATCAATTGACATAATATCAATCCTCAGCGACCTTTTTTGGTCGAACGTCATTCCGAATGGGGATCTTTAACCCTTGTTTTGCAAAAACTTTCGAAAGCTCAGTAGATTCTAATACATTATTCAAAAGTATTCGAATTAGATTTAATGGATGAAAGGTGTTCATATAAGCTTGTAATATTCCTTACCAGTCATACCAGGAAATTTCTTGGCCGAATATACGGTAAACGGGTTTGAAAACACTGTGGAAATAATTCCTGTCCTAGTATTTATTAATCGGTCTTCACTAAAGTTCAAAAAACGCGATTTATATACATTGCTAAAGAATAATATACACATAATAAAGCAATTATTGAATAAAAATATACTAACGTTCCTAATTTCATTAGTGAAAACTTTAGCGTATACTTTCCTTCTGTACGTATAGAAAGGTCAGGAAAACAAAAATAACATCCCGGTTCTCCATCCGTATTTTTTAGGATGGCCGGAGATGAGACAAGTGAACCCATAAGTACGCGCGTAGTTTTGGGCGGATTACTAATCACATTGCGTTCTTCTTTACAATCTTCGGACCACAGCGTAACATGAAGAACGAAAAATGGGTTCTGTAACATACTGAAATTAACAATGGAAAAAAAAAGAAAATTTTTAATATTATGATAAAATTTAGCAAATTAAATAAACTTACAAAGTTGACAAGGCACAAAAAAGATTTTTATGACGTAAATAAGTAGAAATCTGATAAGACAATAACGCCAATAACCTGGCGCAATTTATTCTCTTGCCTCAGGTGACGTCTAGGAACCTCGGCAACAGGTTACGCTCTTCATCTGACACGACAACTTTCCTAACACGATAATATTGATCTTCGGCCATGTAAGTATACTCGCATATAATGCATTTACATCCATGATCT